TCGTTGTCTTTTGTGCGTGTAGGCCCAGACTCCGTCCAGCAAGATCTGGCAGCATGGTAAGGCGGTAGAGGTCACGCCGTCCAGGCCGGGACGCTGTGAGGATGGCTCCTGTGGTCGAGATCAGCTGGAATTGGCGAGGTGTAACGGCGAACTGATACCCATCCTCAGCAAATTGTCCCACAGAGAACAAATTAGCACATAAACCAGGAATATAAAGAACCTCGTGGATCTTTACGACTATTCCTTGTGGTAAAGTGAACTTGATGGTTCCAACTCCTTTCACAGCAAGCTGCTGGGCATTGCCAACGATGACATACTCCTCTGTGGCTGTAGGAACATAGGCTTCAAAGTACTTATCACTGTTGAACATATGGTCTGTAGCAGCAGAATCCAGGTAGATGCACTCTGCAGACAGTGCTGCCACAGCCATAGCTCGTGACAAGATGAAGGCGTGTACCACCTTTTTCTTTGCATTGTTCCTTACAGGCTTGAGAGATGGATTTTTCACCCAGCATTGAGCTTCGTCATGGCCTTTCTTGTTGCAATGAGAACACTTGGGCTTCTTGTATGAAGAGGCTCCTTGTTTCCCTTTGTTCACTGTTTCTTTCCTGAGAGAAGAGTAGAATGCAACGGCCTCTGATCCTGTTGTTGCTCTTCGTCTCAGATGGTAAGTCTGCTTCATGGCCTCCCACGCTTCCTTTGCACTCTTGCACCGTCCAATGCAATGGAATTCTCGCCCCTCCAGCGCTGCATGGAATTTGCCCAAAGCTCTCCAGTCCTTGCGATACTTCGCAGTTTCATCCACTGTAGCTGTATCTGGAAGTGTCTCAGTTCCTGTGGTGATGTCCCAGAGGCCTCGTTCATCCATATAGGATTCGAATTTTGTCTTCCAGAAGCGCCAGTTCCTCCCATCAAATTTTGGTGGATTTGCGTCCACTGAAATGATATCCGCTGTAGGCACAGTCGGATTTGTGATGGGAGGGGAAATAGGTGGTGGATTTGGAGGCGGATTTGTAGGAACAGTGGCTGCCATGGGTGCCGACACCCAATCCCAAGTCTAGGTCCAGGTTCTTAGTCGTCCAGTGCCTCTTGCAAGGCCTGGAGCGTTTGGATTAGGGCACGCCTCTGTCTACGTAGACGGAGGCTCCGATTCACCCTAGCGAGTGTTGCCCTGATCCTACGGTTTTGTATTCTTTGTGCTCTCCCAGGCATTGCTCCGATACCATCTAACGAAAGGTGAAACCGTGTGATGGTGCTCAAGATCCGTCATGGCATATATGGAATGAAAAATGTACATATGTGTGACATGGTGAACCGATGAAGACTCGTGTCTCTCCACGTGGACTAGCCACGTGGCACAGGGCCACTCTCAACACACTCCTTGTTCTGCGTCTAGCTTGGGTCTAAGCCTAAATTCCATGCTGCTTTAGTCGGTGGGCTACCCTCTTCTTCGCATTAGGCCACCTGTGTGCCAAAATTGTGCCAAACTCCATTTGACACCATTTTGTGTGCAGGTGCTAGATATGGGGAGCTGGTGCTCGTGGGATTGTACCTGCTAGATATGGGGAGCTGGTGCTCGTGGGATTGTACCTGCTAGATATGGGGAGCTGGTGCTCGTGGGATTGTACCAGACCCTCGTTTCATAGCGCAATAGATTTGGAATTCGGCTCTAAATTCATGTGCGCTTCAAATGGTAAATCAAGACATTATTAGTTTTCTCAATTTCTTATTATAAAATATCAGCAACAACATCCTGCTCCTGTATTTGCATAAAGAGCTTGGAAGCCACCTCCGGATCGCCGATCTCGAAACGTCTAAGGATCATAGAAGTCCACGAGGTGACATTCCTGTGAGGCATTTCTTGGAAGAGCTGCCAAGCCTCCCCAGCCCCCCACCGCACTTGAAATACAAGTCCATCAAAATATTCTCCAGCAAGATCGATGGAGAAAGCGCCGAGCTGCCGACCTCTGCCGAACATCGTAGTGAATCCTCCTCCCGCTCCCAATATCTCTCGATCTGGCAACGCAATGTTTCAGCGCTGCGACAGTGGCTCCCATGCCCGGCGCCTGGCCGCTGCGCCGCTGCGAATCGTATGCTTGCAGCGCATTGCCGCATCCCTCGCGAGTGCAACATCGCATTCATGGCCACAAATTTCTTTTTGAAAAAGCTTATAACATAAAGCTTCTGATTACGTTTCAAAGTCAGAGTAATTTTGGATAAGAGTGTAATTGGGAGAGGCAGGTGTGGTGTGGAAAGGTCTTTGCCAATTTAGTCTGTTGAAAGCTCGAGCAATTTGTGTTCCTGTATAGTAAAACATGCCCATTTACTGTAGTATGCAAAAACCATTGGTACAGCCCAGTTGCTGCAAAGACACTAATAGAAATGTCGCAAACACCATTAGAAGAATTGCTAATGTATATGAATCTGACATTTTGCTTCAACATGTGAACTATCTTAAATTGGCAGAAAATAACTACAGAAAGCAAAAGCAAAGCAAAAGTTCCAGATGGCATGGGCATCCATCACGAATCTAAAATAGAATAATACAAATAATAATCTTATGGGCGCTCAATGAGCCACAAACGTCCAAACTAATGAGCTACTAACATTACTACAGAGGAAGATTTTTCTCTTTTATTTGGCAATTTTATTTGAACCATGGAGCTCTTTAGCACTGGATGAAGAAGCTGTTCCATCCAAAGCCCGAGCAGTCCTGTACAGAGGCACTAAACCGTGTCTGCGCCACACCTTGGCAGTTTGCCGTGTTGTAGGCCGCAGCAGTCTGGCCCTGGTACCCAAAGCTGTAGCCGCCGTGCTGCGAGGCTCCAACATTGGTGCATCCACAAGCACTGTAGCGCACCCGCTGATTGTTACACCCGGGCCCTGCCCAAGTATCGAAGTAGCTTGCATTGGCCGTGATCATTGATCCCAAGACAATGACCGCCACAAGAACGAGCACCATTTTTCCTGCCATTGTCACGCAAACACAAAGCTATGCTATGATCGTCAATCAAATGAAAACTCTCTCAAGGAAGATCCAATGAACATCTAAGAGCACACAACAGTGAGATTTATACACCACCTCTTGCACGCGCCAAACAGTCAAGGGTCATCTTTTGCATGCGCAGTCAATGACGTGCACAAGCCCTAAAATATTATCATTATTGAAAACCTAATTGTACGTAGGAAAAAATGGTGGAAAAGGCCGCTTTCCATTGGCAGGCCAGCGCCGAGCATTTATTCGCGATCAGCCAGGACAGAAGGTGTGTGATTAAAAAGGAGAGGGAGTGTTAGAGCCACGTGGTGTACAGCCAGCTGGCTTTTGTTTTGGTCTCGTCCTGGAGTTTTCTTCTGGAATATATGGTCAAAGACAACCTTACAGGTGAATGGTAAATCAAGACATTGATAGTTTTCTCAATTTCTTGTTACAAAATATCAGCAACAACATCCTGCTCCTGCATTTGCATAAAGAGCTTGGAAGCCACCTCCGGATCGCCGATCTCGAAACGTCTAAGGATCATAGAAGTCCACGAGGTGACATTCCTGTGAGGCATTTCTTGGAAGAGCTGCCAAGCCACCCCAGCCCCCCACCGCACTTGAAATACAAGTCCATCAAAATATTCTCCAGCAAGATCGATGGAGAAAGCGCCGAGCTGCCGACCTCTGCCGAACATCGTAGTGAATCCTCCTCCCGCTCCCAATATCTCTCGATCTGGCAACGCAATGTTTCAGCGCTGCGACAGTGGCTCCCATGCCCGGCGCCTGGCCGCTGCGCCGCTGCGAATCGTATGCTTGCAGCGCATTGCCGCATCCCTCGCGAGTGCAACATCGCATTCATGGCCACAAATTTCTTTTTGAAAAAGCTTATAACATAAAGCTTCTGATTACGTTTCAAAGTCAGAGTAATTTTGGATAAGAGTGTAATTGGGAGAGGCAGGTGTGGTGTGGAAAGGTCTTTGCCAATTTAGTCTGTTGAAAGCTCGAGCAATTTGTGTTCCTGTATAGTAAAACATGCCCATTTACTGTAGTATGCAAAAACCATTGGTACAGCCCAGTTGCTGCAAAGACACTAATAGAAATGTCGCAAACACCATTAGAAGAATTGCTAATGTATATGAATCTGACATTTTGCTTCAACATGTGAACTATCTTAAATTGGCAGAAAATAACTACAGAAAGCAAAAGCAAAGCAAAAGTTCCAGATGGCATGGGCATCCATCACGAATCTAAAATAGAATAATACAAATAATAATCTTATGGGCGCTCAATGAGCCACAAACGTCCAAACTAATGAGCTACTAACATTACTACAGAGGAAGATTTTTCTCTTTTATTTGGCAATTTTATTTGAACCATGGAGCTCTTTAGCACTGGATGAAGAAGCTGTTCCATCCAAAGCCCGAGCAGTCCCGTACAGAGGCACTAAACCGTGTCTGCGCCACACCTTGGCAGTTTGCCATGTTGTAGGCCGCAGCAGTCTGGCCCGTGAGGCTCCAACATTGGTGCATCCACAAGCACTGTAGCGCTCCAGCCGATTGTTACACCCGGGCCCTGCCCAAGCATCGAAGTAGCTTGCATTGGCCGTGATCATCGATCCCACCACAGTGATGGCGACAAGAACGAGCACCATTTTTCCTGCCATTGTCACACAAACACAAAGCTATACTATGATCGTCAATCAAATGAAAACTCTTTCAAGGAAGATCTAATGAACATCTAAGAGCACACAACAGTGAGATTTATACACGAGGAGTCAGCTCTTGCATGCGCGCCACGAAACAGTCAAGGGTCAAAGGTGGTAAAAAAAATTCTAACCCTAAACAACGTGCACAAACCCTAAAATATATCTTTGGACGACAAAATATTTGGCTTTGGACGACAAGCATTATCATTATTGAAAACCTTTGGCGAATTGTACGTAGAAAAAAATGGTGGAAAAGGCCGCTTTCCAGCGCCGAGCATTATTCGCGATCAGCCAGGAGAGAAGGTGTGTGATTAAAAAGGAGAGGGAGAGAGAGAGAGAAAAGGGGGGCTCGTTCTGGATCCACATTTGGAGTGATCGCCTCTTTTGCCGAAAGCTACTCCTGGCATGATCCATTAGAAAAAAAAAATCTCTCCCTCACCTAATCGATGATAGCGAGCAAAGAATTGGAGCCTTCCTCTTTCTCCCTTGGGATTTTTCCTTTCTTAAATCCCAGCGATCGTTCAATCCTCCTTGATCCATTCAACTCAATCCTGAAGAATTCAATGCTAGCGCTCGCGATGCTCAGACATTTATCCCCAATGCTCGTCGCAATCTCCATCCTCGTTTTCCTCCCAATCGCTCTGGGCGGAGCTTCTTCCCGGATTGGCTTCGCGGAGGAGAAAGAGGTCCCGGTGTGGCCCAAGCCCCACTCACTCCTCGCCAGTGGCTCGGGGTCGCTGGCATTGGCCGAGAATTTCACGCTGCGCTCGTCGCCGGACTCGATCGCGACGCTGAGCAGCGCATTCGCTCGATACCGCGAGATTATCTTCCTCCACCACTCGATCTTCCTCGCCTCTCGCCAGATCCCCGAGAGCATACCACAGCTCCAGGCGCTCAGCGTTCGAATCTCATCCCCGGACGAAACAGTGAGTCAAAATCTCCCTCCATAGCCAGGGTTTTTAGTCTGGAAATATTTTGCGCCATGGGCGCTCTCGATCAAGGGAGGCGCGCGAGCCGCGCCGAGCTCGATCGAGGCGCGGGGCATGGTATTCTTGCGATCGATCGTTTCTTGCGCCTCTGGTCTTACTCCTAAGCTCTCTCGCAGCTCCAAATCGGCGTGGATGAGTCGTATCGCCTCCAAATCCCGGATCCCGACGATGCTACTGCCGCATTGCTCACGGTAAATCCCAGCGCTGCTCCTTCTTGATGGAAATTTGATTGTTCTTTCGTGGGATTCTCCTCTTTCAGGCAGAGACTGTGTATGGAGCCCTACACGGATTGGAGGTAATGTACGGACATTGATAGTCTCTGGAGTGAAATTTTCGTGTTCTTGGTGCTCTCTCAGACGTTTAGCCAGATCTGCGCGTTCAATTTCACGACGAAGATGACGGAAGTGCGATACATCCCAGTGGACATCGTCGATCGGCCGAGATTTGAGTATCGAGGTCTCTTGATTGGTACGATGATTAGCTTTCTTCGTGTGTCTGTCTCTTCACTCATTGTAAGCTTTTCTTTTTTATCACAGACACTTCGAGGCACTATGAGCCCCTCAAGATTGTCCGGAGCGTCATTGATTCCATGGCCTACGCCAAGCTGGTGAATACTTAAAACTTTCATCATACTGTTGGTGTTGACGGATTTTTTTACGTGTTTCTAGAATGTTTTGCACTGGCATATTGTCGACACCCAATCGTTTCCTTTGGAGATTCCTTCCTTTCCTAAGCTTTGGAATGGAGCGTATACCGGAGCCGAGCGCTACACTCTAGAAGATGCCAAGGGTATTGTCGAGTAAGTCCACAATTTTTGTCCCTTTCACGTGCCAAACAAATTTTGGAATTTCGGATTGTCAGATACGCGAGGCTAAGAGGAATCAATGTGATGCCAGAGCTTGATGTTCCCGGTCATGCTGCATCCTGGTCTGATTCTCTTTTGCGTTATCAATAAGATAGATTGCTTCAATTGTGCCGGATCAACAGGGGCGTAGGCTATCCGGAACTGTGGCCCTCCGGGAACTGTACGCAACCTTTGGATGTAAGCAGTGAGTTCACTTTTGAGGTCATCGAAGGGATCATTTCGGGCAAGTAGTGATAAACTTCCGGAGGCAGCAAAGCATTGACTCTGTTTTCCTGTAGATTTTGCAAAGACCTTTCCTTTCAAATTCATGCACCTTGGTGGTGACGAAGTCGATACAAGTAAGCCACAGAAATACTTCCAAGTTTCTCATGTTTGATGTTTAGCCTGCTGGAAGAAGACGCGACATATAGCCAGATGGTATGTAGTCAAGTTTCGGGATCAAGTTTCGGCTTATTCTAACATGCAGGCTTGCACATAACAATTTCACCGCCAAGCAAGGCTACGAATACTTTGTTCTACGCGCGCAAAAGATTGCCCTGAAGTACGGGCTTACTCCCGTGAATTGGTAAATTCTAAAAGACTTTCTGAACTTTATAAAGCTGACAATAACAATGCCAATGCAGGGAAGAGACTTTTAATAACTTTGGTAGCAAACTCAATAACGAGACGATCATTCACAACTGGTCTAAGCTTTATCCTTACGTTTTCTTAGGATACTCACATTCCTGGAACTTACTTTTCAGGATAGGACCTGGTCTGGCGCCACTCGTTGTAGGAGCAGGTTTCAAGTGCATCGTGAGTGATCAAGACGTGTGGTATCTGGATCATCTCGACGTACCATGGCAAAGCTTTTACAAGAACGAGCCACTCACAAACATAACGGGAGAGCATGAGCAGAGTTTGATAATTGGAGGAGAAGTTTGCATGTGGGGCGAAACTGTGGATCCAAGCGACATACATCAAACAATCTGGCCTCGAGCGGCAGCTGCAGCCGGTGAGTCCGGGTCTCGGCCGTGTTTCTCACTCACATTTGAGCTTTTCTAGAACGCTTGTGGTCTCCGAGGAGCTTCACGGACCAGGGAACTTCGCAAGTCCATTCGAGGCTCAAAACTTTCAGGTGTTTGCTACAACAGCGAGGGATCCCTGCAGCTCCAGTAGATGAGCTTGGGCGGGTGTCTCCGCCGTATCCAGGTTCTTGTTACGACCAGTAAAGTATCGCAGAATTTTTATGTAGCGTGTTAATTTACTTGCTTCTCAACAATCTCAGTGTGTACATTGCAGCTTTCAATGGTTATTATAAGAAGTATGCGCAAGCAGGAGATACGCTCCAGAGTTTCCTGGCTCGAGCTTGACAGCCTCGTCCACAACTTGGTTGGCTCGATGCAAATCCCCGTGAGTCCGACAGGCGCCCAGAACACTTGTCCATCCCACTGCCCCCAGCAGCTTGGACGTTTTCATCACGAGCTCCTCGGCGTCCCGCAGCCGTCCAGCTCGTCCCAGCAGATCAATCACGCAGACGTAGTGCTCCTCCCGCGGCTCGACTCCAAAGTCCTCGGTCATCGACACAAAGTAGCTCCAGGCCTCGTCCACCATCCCTGCGTGAGCACAC